TTCTCAGCTTCGATTTGCTCAAATACATCTTCTAGTTCTTTCTCTCTCTCCACTCCCTCCGGGATTCCAATTATTCTGACATTGGAACGCTTCATGGTGTCACTTATTTCTCTGATTCTATTTTCATGGATTCTGATTTGTTTTCCCTGGCCTCCTCTTTTCCCTTTGTATCTATTATATTGTCTTCCAGGTCGCTTATTCTCTCTTCTGCCTCAGTTACCCTAGCTGTTAGATTATCTAGATTGGATTGGATCTCATTGATAGCATTTTTAAATTCTGCTAATTCACCTTTTATTTCTGCCCTTAGAGACTCTATGTTGCCATTAATTGATTTCTTCATTCTAGCCATTGTCTTCACAATTGCTAGCCTGAATTCCATCTCCAACATCTTGGTTATATCTGCATCCATTTGTAAATCTGCAGCATAAGTCATAATCTCTGAGTCTTTTCTGTTTTGGGGGCTCCTCCTCCTAGTTATTCTGTTGATGGGTGTTTGAGGGAATGTATAGAGTCCAAATTATTGACCAGAACCCAAGCAAGATGCACCTGTTTTCTTGGGACCTTAGGGTTGCTGGCCTCTTGTTTTCCCAGCCTGTCTTCTGTGGGAGGGGCCTGCCACACTGTTACTCAGGCAACCCTGTTGGGGCAGAGTTGCCCTGCGCCCCTGTGGCGGGGGATGGGCTCAGTGGGAATCAGTCTTTGGGGCTTTTGTTCTCTGGCGCCTTTCCCTGGTGGCTTTCCATGTCTCTTCCTTGAGTCAGAGCAGAAGAGACCGTTTCCAACCCTCTGCCTCAGAGCAGAGAGACCTCAGTCTGTTCTTCAGTGAGCTCTGCAGGCCACACTGTCTCCATTTCTCTCTGTGCTGCTATAAACTGCAGCGTCCTGGGTTGTGCGCCCCTCTGCAGCGCTCCCAGTCCTGCCTCCAGGTCGGGGCACGTCTCTGCTCTTTGTGCTTCTAAAACCGCCAGCCACTCCCAGTTCTCATGCCCGACCCCACCGCTCCGGGTTTCCGCCCCCAGGGCTGCAGTTCACATGTGTGACCCCTCCACTCCGGGTTTCCGTCCCAGGGATGCAGTTCGCAGGCGCGACCCAGCTGCTCTGGGTTTCCACCCCGGGGGCTGCCCTAAAGTCCTTTCCCCGCCGCTACCGGTCTGGGAGTCTGTGCCCGTCCGCAGGGCGCAAGGCTGTCACTCACCAGCGGTGTAGGATCCCCACGGCCAGGCACCTTCCCGCTGCCGTTTATCCTCCAATATCTGCCCGCGGAATCACGGCTCCCCGCTTCATACCTCAAAACCAACCACCTGCGATGTTCTGTTTGTAGAGATCCAGATCTTCTTACATCTCAGGCTGGTTTCGTGGGTGCTCAGAATGGTCTGGTAGATATCCAGCTCAATTCCGGGGACCAGTTGAAAGAGGGTCCCCTACTCCTCTGCCATCTTTCCCCCTGCAGTGACTATTATGGACTGAATTGTGTCCCCCAAAAGTCATATGTAGAATTTCTAATCTCCAGTGTGACTGCATTTGGAGATAGGGCCTATAAGGAGGTAATAAAAGTTAAATGAGGTCACGAGGGTCCTAATCTGCTAGGACTGGTGTCCTCATAAGGGGGAGAGACACGACAGCTCTCTCCCTGCCTCCCCTCTGAGTGCCCACAGAGAAGAGGCACAGTTGAAAAGATAGCTATCTACAGGCCAACAAGAAAAGGCTCGCTGGAAACCAACCTTGCTGGCACGATGATCTGGAACTTCTGGCCTCCAGATCTGTGAGAAAATAAATTTCTGTCATTTAAGCCACCCAGTCTGGTTGTTATGGCAGCCTGAGCAGACAAAAATACACTGATAAAGCCTTCTTTCAAGCTTTGGAGAAACTTTCTATACACTGTGCTCCATGCTTTTGGGTCTAACCCTTATCTCCATAGCTGTTGCTAATACTTGAGCCAGAGAAGTCATAAATACTAGGAATGTTGGAATTGGATAGGATATCAATAACCATCCAACTCAGTATCCTCAGCTATGAAGAATTCACACACACACACACACACACACAGAGTACAAACATGGTTATCCCACTTAATTACATCAGTGATTTCTTGATACCCAAACCCAAATGCCAGCTCCCCTTTAGAGTACTAACCTCACTGCTTCCCTGTGACCTACCCACCTCCATGCAGACCCAGGACCTTATACCTCAATTCCTGCCAAGCCAACAATAAAAGTTCACGATTCAGTTCTTACCTCTCGTGCTTTATTCATTACCTCCTAAGGTCTAGTAACCCCACCCTCCTCTTCTTTCCAAAAAAAAATCCACTGTTTCCTGGGAACCTTTCAGATGTTTTTTACCCCTACAATCTAGTTGGCCTCTTGTTTTCCCAGCCTGTCTTCTGTGGGAGGGGCGGTCCCGCGCGCCGTGTATGCTACGTATTTGGTACCCTATTCTGTCTTCTTGAGAGAGCTTGTTTGGAGGTTCTAGCAGGGGAGCGCAGCTACTCATATACCCTTGACCGAAGAACGGTCCTCCTCTATCGGGGAAGGTCGTCCTCTTCGACCGAGCGCGCAGCTTCGGGAGGGACGCACATGGAGCAGTGAGGGAGGAAGGGGACACCCGCCTAGCCAGCCAGATCAGCCGAATCAACCCTGGCGATCAATGGGGTGACAGATGTCGCAGCCAGATCGCCCTCACATCCCTATTCTGTCTTCTTAACAATCAGGGCTTTGACTTCTTGCAAAGGCCTCTGAAGGCCCATCACCTGCAGTAGATTGTACGTAGCTGAAGGTAGACTTTAACTAGAGTCTATTGTGCAAATACCTGAAGCAGTAAGTCCCTTGAGTGGTGAATGAGGCATGCCCACCTCCAGAGGTCTTGAGGTCCTCTCTTCAAATATACACAGTCACTCTGAACAGTCACGCCCTCCCTGAGGGAAAGGATGACCATCCAAAATCAGCATGTGGCCTCAGAGAGTTGCTGCTAGACTGTGCAGGCAGTGTTAAAGTCCCCCCATTTCCTTGGCCTCTCTCAGTGCTAAAAATCTCCCTTTCTATACACGAGCTTCCTCTCAAAATTCTTACCAATCAATAGAGGCAACTGGGTAATTTTCTATCTACATAACAAAAGTTCAAGGCTATGTAGTTTGAAGCAAATAATTTTGTACTCTACTGGGTTTGCTATTTTAGTAGACATATGTGTAAGAGAGGCAGTTAGAGAGAACTTTTGATGTACCAATTTAAATCTGAACTTATTCTAAGTTAGTCATTTATTCCCTCCCCTCTCTCCAGTGAATTTCTTTCAGGTCCTTAAGAGAACTGAGAGTTCTTATATAGAATATGGATGATCAGCATGACTCTTCGGTGCCTTGCTTGACCAAGATATAAAAGTATACAAACATCAACTTTCAAAGGATTACCTCCAGCAAATTCTTATGCTTACCATAATGTTAATTTTAAAAATTAACAGTTAAAAAATTAACTGTTTAGATGCAGTACAAAGAATCAATGTTTGTCATTTCTGTAGCAAATTATTACTGGTTTTTCATTCATCTTTGAGAATCATGGTGAAGATGTTTGGTTCCCTTTCAAGTACTGAAAAGAAGATACTAAAAAATATTTGGAAGGGCTCCTCTGTCACTCTTTCCTACCATCCCCATTTGTACATGAGGAAAGGGGGTGAAAACCTGGAGTGAGGAGGCCAGCAGAAAATGAAAAGGGAACTGGCTGAGAGACTAGAACCGAAGCTTCACCAAAATAGAGCCTTTCAGGAAGTAGAAAATGGGATATTTGCTTCCAGCTTGGAGCAGAGAGTATAGGAACTTTACCCAAGAAACAAACAAAATCCTGATGACTATCAGGCTCAGGAGGAATGGGGTGGGGTACCCAGGTGACCAGTAGGTTACAAACCTTGACTCTTCCCATTTTCCTCAAAAAAAAAATTAAAACCCTGCAGTTCCCTCCTCCTCATCCCCCTCCCTCCTGCAAAGAGAGTAAAAAACAGTGACTCTCAGGGTATAGAAAAATTAGTGAGACATAAACCAACAATCATAAACGTTGCCGAAAAACCAAACCATGAAAAAAAAGAACAACTTTAATATGTTTTATCCTTCTTTTCAAGAGAGAATTTGCACCTGAGTGGGGGGAAAAGTGATTAAGACATTAACATCAGTACAATTAAATTAATCATAGGGATAAGCCCGAATATCATATCATGAAATGAGAGCAGGCAGCTATGAAAAGAATTAACCGAGATCTTGGAAATACAAACAGCTACTGAAATAAAAAGAAACCTTTCAAGAGATGAACTGAATAGCAGAATGGGCACTGCTCAAAATCAAACCAGAGAGCTGGACTATCAAGCTAAGGAATTCTCCCAGAAGGCTACACAAGGAATAAAAAGATAAAAGCTATGAATGACAGGTAAGGAATTATAGAAGACAGATCTAAAAGTTTCAGCAGAGGTCTACAGACATCCCATTGGTTTGGCTGTCATCTTTCTTGCTTATCTTCTCAGGCAAAAGTAAAGCACCTCAGCGGTTGGGTTTTTTCCCAGTTATTGTTGGCTTCCGGCTTGGAGTCTCAAAGTGCTGGTTTGGGCCCCAGTTTCCCCCCACCCACCCCGGGATTCCCCTACCAGCACCTGGAACTTCTTCAGACAGGCTCCCCAGGAAGCCTAGGACTACCAGCGGCTTCAACGCTAGCTACCCAGTCGCGAGCCCTGCGCCTCCCCAGCTAACACTTTGGCACACTCTGCCCATTGAGCGCCCGGCCGAAGCGACGCCCCGGGACTTGAATGACTCCAGCCGTCAGATGCCAATCCAGCGAGGAGAAAGCTCCTGAGCTCCAGGAAGCCGCGTGTGGAGGCGGAGATGCTGGGCACCAAGACACCGGCATCACGGCCCCGCCCCTCCACGCAGACCCCGCCCCTTTATCGGCCACGCCCCGTCCGAGCGCGACGCCTTGTGGGAGTTGTGGTCCCGCGCGGCCGGGAGTCTGCCTCCTGCCGGAAGGCGGAGCCGGCGGCCGGGAGAAGCCGAGAACTACAGCTGCGGAGGCCGCTCCGCCTCCCCGGGGGCCTCGGGCTCCACGGCGGCCAATGAGGCAGGACCACGCGGGCCTCCAAAACAAGAGGAGGTGCGGGCGGGCGCCTTCCCCTCGGCCAGCAGTCTCCCCACCGCCGTCCCGCACTCCCGCGAGCCTCCTGGCAGGCTCGGAGTTCAGCCCTTCTGCCCTGCACCTGCACCTGCACAGCCCCGAGGCCAGGATTCGGCCCGGACCGCCCAAAAGTAGGGCTCTCCTCCTCTCTGTCGCCTTTCTGTGACCTCCTGCCTCCAGGCACTTACCAGCCACGCCTCCCCTGGCCTGAGAACTTTCTCCAGGTAGTGGGGTGAACAGTCGAGGACTCACCAGCTTTGGTTTTTGTCTCAGAGATCATCGTTCTTTGATGTAGAGTTACTTGAAAGCCATTGTTTCATCTATCTTGTCCGTTCTGGGGCTTGTTTCAGGCTGGACAAGGAATCGAGTCCATATCACTGTATCTTTGCTGGAAGCAGAAAACTAAGGGTGGCTTTTTTTCTTTTTTGATACTGTCTTAAACATTTTATGAAATCAACAGATCAGGATTCCAGAAAAACAGAGTGCACCAGAATTCATGCCTAGTGCTTGCTGATGAAATGATCCGTTTGTTCGCTATATTCTTGAGATTGGAGCTGATAACATCTAACTTTGTAAGTAGTACCGAATTGTACATACACGCGATAGCAGTATTTTTCAAACCCCACACTGGGACGTTTGGACTGCGATTTTTAGGCTTAATAATTAATAATTCATAGGAAGAGACAGTACTCTAACTACACGTTTACTGACTGATTCTGGTAGAAAAATGGAGAAAACAAAAGAGTTAAAGACTCCTTCCATAAAAATTGATGGTCCATTTGGTTTTAAAATTAAATACACTCCGATGGTATTTTCTTTTTAGAATCCTGTCCTTCACATCAATAATCTTTCATTACAGATTCAGGTTACTTTTGTATTACTGAAGCACATGTTCTTAAAAACAAAAAAAAAAAGTTTAACATGTAAAACCAGATTATACTACGAGTGAAGAAATAATGCTGAATAGTAGGTGTGCCCTTCAGAAAGAACAAGATGAAACAGGCATGTTTCTAGTCCTTAATTTCCAATCCCAGTACCTACTGTAAAACATTCATAGTCCAAGTAAAATTAATTTCTGTAATTCTAAAATTTCATCCTAAAAATGTCATCATGTAACCCATGATATTTATCACTTTCAACAGCACAAACAAATCGCTGGCTGGCATTTAGGGTCTTCTTCAGTTGAGCCCTTCCACTTCTTTCCAACCTTATCTCCCGAAGAATCTTTAGGAAAATGTTCTCTTATTATTGTTTGATTTCTCACTGAATGACTATCTACACTGGCCCCTTGTCTGCATGATCTTTGTTCCCATTTCTCCTCACCCCAGCTCCCATCCAATCATTCAAAGGCTAATGATAGTTTTTAGCTCTTGTTAGTTTTGTGAACTTTACAACTCAAAGGGACCTCTTTTTCTCCTATTTCTATCTCTTCTGAACTTTGTAACACTTACTCTGTATCAATCATTTGACTCTCCATTATCCAGCTATAGACATTATTATTTCACTCTATATGTCTTACCAAGAATATGTAAGCTTTTTGAAGGGATATACCTTTTTAATGAAATGATAATTAAATTACGAAATTATCATTCATGTTATAGACAAAAAGATTTGCTAATTACTTTCGGCATAAAGGGTCCTAATTTAAAATACTGTATTCTTAGAGAAGGCCAACACATTACCACCACTGACACCATAGCATATGGCCTTCCATCATTAATTAAGGTGTTGATAACAAGAAGCATCACTAGTAAATTTTGGTTATGGGAAGTGAGGTTTGGGAAACCACAACGGAGTGCCCTGGGCAGTCAGAAGGGGCTTGAGGGCTCATGGGGGAAGAGCAACATCCCAAAGAGGAGCTGGGAGCCTTGGGAATGATGGAGAAGGCCTGGAATGTGTTTTGCAGAAAGCTGTCTCCCACTGGGTGTGAGCTGATGACTCTTCCAGCTATTCAAGTGATACCAAAAATCCATCATGGCTCCCCATTCCCCGAGAAGATTCAACTGCCTTTGATGGGAACAACAGCAAACTCGTTTGGGAGGTGCGGTGCCTGGTGGTGGTTCCTCACTACTCTGTCAAGTTTCAAACAGGCAAAGAACTCGTTACTGTAAGATGCCAGGTTTCACCAACCCTTGTAGCTCCTACACAAGTTTTAGATCTTCCTCCTTCACCGACCTCTCCCTCCAACCCAATTCTCAAGAGTTAAAGGTTGCTCAGCTCCCTTGCAACTCGCTGGTTCCAGCATCAGGCAGGGGTCCCTCAAGCAAAGGCCTGAGTGCCTCTCAGCACCCGCTGCTCTCCCAGTGGTCTCTCCAGGAGGGGTCTTCTCCAGATCTTCTAGCAGGAGATGGGCACTTCCCATCTGCCCCTATTGCCAGACCAACAGTTACCTAGCCTGCAGGGTCATACCAGTCTGGCTTTTTATCTGTTCTCTTCCCAGTGGATACTTTGTCCTAAACGCTGTGCCTTGCTTCTGTCAGGACTCACCCTGGACTATCAAAACCCTTTTTCTTGTGCCAGTGAAGCCTAAGAAACACTCCTGATGAGTGAACCAGGAACTCGGATAAATCATATTTATCCTGAATGTTCTGTCCAAAATGAAAAATATTTACATTTTTGAGGTGCCTCAAGATCTCTGAGAAGGGACATTTCATAGACTCTATCATGTAGTGATGTCAACTCTGATTCTGTGCCAATTTTCCTACTTTCCCAGCTAGTAATTCTCTACCTCAGAAAGCCAACTCTCAACGCTTTCCTCTCTGAAAGGCCATTGCTCTTAGAGTCTGCACATGGTACATGGTGACTGATGGTATTTGGCTGCCCTCTCTACTTTGGGTCTAACTGCTGTGGGGTGTTAGGAAGGGAAGGATACCCAGCACGTCTCTTGTTCTAAGATTTAAGATAGTTTGGGGCACATAGCAAACAATAATCACTTTTTTGTTGATCCAAATGTTCACACTTTCTTAATTATTCTATTACCATAATTTACTGGTTCTAAGATTTGTCCTCCCCCCCCCATTTTAAAATCTCTTAAGGTGGCAAGCAACTTGCACTTGACATGTCATAGTTTCACAACATTTCTCTTTCTTAGCAGAACATAAAATATAGGGCATCTTACCCTTGATAAAAGCTAAGATGCAATTAAGTACTCTATTACAATTATGATTCCACTACTTTAAATCCTCCGGTGGCTCCCTGTGCCCCTACAGTGTAGTATCTCAGCTCCTCAGCATAGTATACTAACCATCTCACCCCCAGTGTCAAGTTCTGGGCTCATCCTCTATCCCCAGCCTCCCCCTCCCACCCAATGCTGCCAGATTGGTTGTCCTGAACTTACTGTAGTTTCCCAAATGCACGGTGCAGCCTCCTGCCACTTGGAAACCTGGCACATTCATACTCATTCTTCTGCGTTGCATTCACGTCTCACCTCCCCTGAAAATCTGTTGCTAAGTGGCTCCTTCCCAGCTCCAACCGACCATTGGCAACCTTTTATCTCCCTCTAGTAAAGAGCCTGTCACATTGTACTGTGGACGTGCCTGTCATCCCCCTGAGAAGAGGAAGGAGCGGTGAGGGCACCGAGCATTTTCAGCTCCAGTGCGGAACCCCATGCCTGGCTCGCAGGAAATGCCAGATCCTGAAGACAAATGGAGGTCATCCTCTGGCTTCAATGGGCTCTTCTTTGCCCACCACAGGGTCTGGATCAATAAATAGTAGCTGGTTATTATTGCTGTTGTTCTAGGGATTTCCCCCCATATATTTCCCAGATCTTTACTTTTTTTACATCACTTTAATTCAGGCCTCAACCATTTCCTGATCAGATGAGACGAAGCATTTTCCTTTCTGTACCCTCGATGTATTCCATACCTAGTAATTTATAACCTACATGGATTTGCTGCATCAAATAGTTCCATCTTCTCCAAATATAATTTTGATCAAGTCACTCGCCCTTCTTAGAAGCATGTCATACCTTGAGTAGCAAACTTGAAATCTTGGCCGTTGGTTTTGATTTTTGTTTTGGTTTGGTTTGGTTTGGTTTTTGTAACTTTAAAAATCCCTCCAGCACTTGGCTCTGTCTGACCTGAATTGCTTTCATCTGTTTCTGCAACAAAATGGTCCTGGCTGCAAAAACTCTCATTGTCGTCAGTGGCGCCCCCTTCTGAACGCCCCCATTAGTAGAAAGCTTTTTTTTTTTTCCCCCTATGGTAAATATGTAACAACAATGAGACATTTCAAAGAGGTGATTCACAGATAAATTTCTCTAAGGGTGGGATGAGGGTTACTCAAAAAGGAATTTTACAAGGTTTTTAAAGACACTGATAATTATTACAACTTAACATAACTCATAGTTATTATGCTCTTAACTGGCCAAACACTTGGTGGCATGCAAGAAAGAGTAACATGATTCTAGATGGTTCTAGCCAGCATTCCAGCACAGGGTCTCTTGAGGCATGGATTTTAGCCACTCACTGGGCAAGGCATGAGGCCTGTTAGTGATTCTATTTCTTCCTCTGCAAAATGGGCCCCCAGGTCCTTTCCACCCAAATAAATAATGTGGTGATTCTCTCAGTGAGTTATACTTTGGGTTTAAACAGCCAACTGTCTTTTAAAAGGACTTCAATCATTTTTTTTAAATCCCATATTTACTCCGATCCTGGAACTTTGTCATTTTGACCCTCTCTGCTGATTAAAATATTCTCTCCAAAACTTCAGTTATTTGCAGGTACTTGCAGTGTAGACATTCTTTACATATTAAAAAAAATCCATTCACAAGCTTCATTTACAATGACAATAGCAAGGCTTCTTAGTGAAAATCTCAGGAATCTAAAAGACTACCATTTGCTATTCATCAAATAGTTACGGAGTCTGTACTAAGTGCCAGGGCTTCAGAGAATGTGAGCTGAGAGGGATGTAGCATTTTTTCCACCTTCTGCTACCATATTCATTTCTTTGTTACTCAGGGGGGGCCTTCTTTGTAGAACATATTATCTGATCTTTTAAAAATCATAAAGCTGAATTTAAATTCTGTCCCTTCATTCCCCACAACCCTTATAAAGCCAAGAAGTATTGGATGGAAAATAATTTTGTTCCATTTCTTAAGAGCCCATAGATGGCATTTTTTAACGTTTTTGAGTTTTCGTCACTATTTATTTATGTTACTTCTGCTTTGGACAGATAAACAATTGCTAACAACAATGTGAACTTCCTACAAATGTACAACCAAAAATCCCTAGGTACACATTACTCAAGCTTTTTGTCCCCTTTAAACATTATTTCTCTCTTGATATGCATTCTTGTTTTGTATTGTCTTACATTACAATTTTTTTTAAAAATAGACTTCATGTTTTAGAGCAGTTTGGGGATCACAGTAAAATTCTCTTCCCCCACATACACACAGCCTTCCCTATTATCAACATCCTGTACCACAGTGATAATTTGTCACATGCACTGACCCTACACTGACACATCATTATCGCCCAAAGTCCACAGTTTACATTAGAGTTCACTATTGGTATTGTACATTCTATGTGTTTTGACAACTGTGTACCGCTATGTATGTACTATTAAAGTATCA